ATAAGAGAGCGAAATCCTGGGGTTTAGAGATCACCACTAAACATAGCTTTTCTACACTCTTAATGAATGATTAATGAAGGGGAAAACATATATTACAACATAGTGTGTGTGTGTGGTTGTTTCAACAAGCATGGATGACATATTAAGCATATATTGTCTAAGCAACATGGTGGATAGCAAAATATATCAAACTAGGCCATTAATCCCTTCTTTAAGCTCACAATCCAAACACATCACAAAGTTAGAGAAATATACTACTTGTTTTCATAAGTATAGAACATCAAACAACAAGTATGGATTGTCCTCCCATTTAACATCTAAACTACAACTACACTACAATTAAGTTAATGACATGAAATTAAACTAATTAAACTAAGGGAGAGACACAATCCATCAAGAAATGAGTATGAACCATCAAATAAACCACAAAAACATTCTATTAAGCACTATGTCTTGACAATCTCTAGATCTATAACATTAATACACATAAACATGCATCAATAACACAAGAAATAGAGACAAACACATGAACATATATTCTAGCATACATAGACATATGGATAGAATGAAATGATCCATTGGAATCATTAAACCACACAAATCATTGAATAAACAAGATCTATGTATATAAATATGTCAAAACATCTATCACAATACAAATTCCCTCAAAAATACGTAAATCAAGATGTAGAAAGCATGCTTAGGGCTAACTCTAGCCCCAGGAGGATGTCTAGCCACTCATTGATGGTGTCCTCCAATCCTCAAGGGCTAACTTCATGGTAGAGATTGTTCCTCTTCTTGGTTGATGGAAGAACTCCAAGCTTGTGTCTCTAGCCTTCTCCTTTCTTCTTTTCTTCCTCACTAAGAATATGGAAATTGTGTCTCTAGTGTATGTATCTACTATCAAGTATATGCTCTCAAGAATGACTCATATTCCTTATATAGGTAGGTTAAATATCACCTCCAATGAGTTGGGCTCATACATCAATATTCCTTCCAATGATTAGATATGAGACAACTTTTAATGAGCTGGAAATTGAATTTTTTCGGGCTTTGGGAAGTTCGATCGATCGAACTTGTGGTGAGATCAATCGAACATAGCTGAGATCTATCGAATTTAAGCTGGATCGATCCTCTATGGCGGCGCCTTTTTGGATAAAAACAAATTTGAGATATTTTGAAGATATTTTTGGGAAAGAGACAAATGTGGTAGGTAGGGTGGTACAACTGGATAAGATGGAATCTTTTTGATCAATCGGAAGAAAGTTGGATCGATCGAATTTTGTGGGATCTTTGGATAAGGACAAAAGAGCTTGGATCCATCTTGAAATGCTGAGACCGATGAACTTTCGATAGATCGAATATTTTTTGAGATCGATCAAACTTGCTGAATTTCCACCATTTGCTTCCTTTTGCTCTCACTTTGCTCCTTTCTTTGATTCATCTCAAGATTGTTTCAATTATGCTCTTATTTAGCTGAGTTAGCTTATTTTGGGCATAACTACTTGAAATGGAAATAATACAAAATCAATCTAAAGCGGGAAAATAAGATAGATAAAGATTATAGAACACCTAAGCTTAAGGGGTTTAAATTCGCACTTTTCAGCATTCATCAGCATGCTTAGTTGTGAAATTTTGGTTGTGATGTTAAGCATGAGGTGGTTTTGATCTAATTATTTGAGTTGAGAATATGATGGTTTTCTTGTATTTGTGTTAAGCATGCTATTTTTTTGTGAGAAAATGTGAAAGTATGAATTGTGTGATCAATTTTTGTGTTTCAATGTTTTAATATAACTATGATGTAAACCATGACTTGTGTATTGATGAATGGTTGTATGACATGCATATTCTTGGCATGAGGGTGAGTTGAGAGGATGAAGGTTGATGTGGGAAAGAGGGTTAGAAAATGAAATGATAGTTTGTATGGTAAGCCAAGGTGATGGTTAGGAAGGTTTTAGTGAGGTTGGGTTAGAAAGAAAGAAGGGGACATTTGCATTTCATATTTGATGGTATGGCTTGTGAATTTATGAAATTCATGAATGTTGAAATGACTTAATCCCATGACCCCTTTTCTTCGATTCCCATCCTTTGGTTGCGGCTCACGGGATTTTTTGGAATCTACTTTAAGCTTACTCTACTAAACTATTGAGCTCACACTATCATTATTAACATTTTTCAGGAATGCGGAGATGAGCCGGTAAATGAAGTGCATCCATGGACATTGATGTAGTTAGGAATTCACTTTCATTTTGTTTATATTAAAGCTATATAAATTTTGGCCATGGAGGCCTCATTCTTGTATTGAATTCTTTGGAAATTGTATAAAATGATACTTGTGTAATTCGGTCTTTAAATGATGTATTGGACTTGTATTCGGTTCATTTGAATGAACGAGAGTTTAATTATGTTTTCATACTATCAAATGAAAGATTTGGGGTAGGTTTGGGCTTTGAATAAGGTTACATAGGGACCAAAGTAGTGCAAATATGTAAAAATCCAAGATTTTAAGCTTTTTGGGGCATTTTTAGGGTTCTGGGTATTTTGAACCGCTTCAGCCCCAATTGAACCGATTCAAGGGGTGAAAATGGTTCTCGAGTGGGCATACTACCCATCTTGAACCGGTTCAGGATTCTTGAACCTGTTCAAGTCCTCCAGTAAGCACAAATTGCCTTGTCAGCTTATCAGCTTTGATCACCTAACTTCAGACGGTAATAACTTTTTCATTTCATACCCAAATAGGGTCATTCTTGAGTCCATTTTTAAGGATTTTCAGTTGGATTTCCAATGGGACTAACCTCATCCTTAGATTCCAATCATGTTGACAGTTATGGTTGTTTTAGTGGAACTGTGTCAGAATTTGCTTTGAACCTGTAAGGGCGTTTTTGGGAATTCATATCCAGTGACTGTAGAACCTCATCGAGCTTCATGGAATGACTAGAATAGTTGTTTTAAACCTCATTTAACTAGTTTAAGGATGGATTATCCTTTCATATTGTAAAAAGACCATTTTACCCCTAGTATGTCCTCGGGTTCAGGTAAGGCCCGGTTAGTGATCTGGACCTCTGATTTGGGTTGTTTCAGGTAGGCCCAACCCAGCCTAGTCCCAACCCAACTTCAACCCGAATCGGATTGGGTTAGGCCAACCCGAATTGTACCCAACATGGGTTAGGGTTATAACCCTGGTCGAATATTTTCGGGCGGGTTGGGTCGGGTTGAGGTTTTTTTATAAATTTTTTTTTTTGGATATATATATATATATTCATTTTACCCTTCCCAATCGCCTCCATCTCTATTCTCTGTAAACTTTCCCTCGCTCTCTCTCTCTCTCTCCCCGCAACTACAAACTACAAAATTTACAAGAATCAGAACTTCAAAACCCATATATTTCAAAACCCATCTGTCTGCAAGAAGTTCAAAACCCATATCGGCATATCATTTCAGATTGTTCAAAAAATCAAAACCCAGATCTTTCAGTTTCCATCGCCTGTTGTTCTAGTTCGGGTTCGCCGTTCGCAAGTTTCAGCCGCTGCAACTGCTAACTTGAATGTATGGGGATGACGGTAGAGAGAGAAAGAGAAAGGAGAGAGAGAAAAAAAAATGTTTTTTTTTTTTTTTTTAAAATTTTAGGTTCGGGTTGAGCCAGAGACCAACCCGAATATGACTGGGTTTTGACAAAACTCAACCCGAACATGAGCCCGATTTGTGAACTTAAAGTTCAAATTTTAAAATTTTGGGTTGGGCTGGGTTAGCTCGCCCAAGTTCCATCCCTAGGAGTGGATGAGGGAAGCTGTTCTAATGTTCAGCATGGATGTGCCTGGTCTTCTCTCAGAAGGTTTCCTGCATTATCAAGCTTCATCACTCTCAACTTTTCAGCCACCAAACTTGTAATATTAAGAGTGAGCTTTCATATGCACATTCAGTGCCTTTTGCTTACCATTGAAGCAGCAATATAACTATGTGTGTAAAAAAAAACACATTGTGTGACATGGTGGGACCACTCCAGGTTCAATTTTGGATGTCTGAATCATCAATTTTTATTGCAATCTAGCCAAGCCGAGGGGCTCAGCTCAATCATGTAATACTAGTGCTCGAGCCGAGATCGAGTTTCAATATATGAATTGGAACTCGGCTCAGCCATGACCAAAAATGTTTGAAATCGGTTATAACTCGATTACGGAATACAGCTCTAAGCATTCATATATTAATACACACACATACTTAAATAGGAATTTTTGAAAACATAATCTATATTCAAATCCACTAATTATATATATATATATATATATATATATATATATATAGGGTGAGTAAGTTAGTATATATTTGTACCTATAAACTGCCACTATCTATAATAACAAGTACAAAATTTGACCTCTTTATGAAAAGTTTGGTAGTATTCAAATCCCAAATTATCAAACACTTGTTTTGCTCTAAGTCACATAAAGCGGGAGTTTGAGCGAAAGTGAATTTGAGAGCAGAAGCGTGAGAGCGGCAAAATTATGTCATAAATAGTGAGAATTTGAGCGAGAACTCGCGGAGCCTGACAGCGATACCTGTTGAAAAAAATTATGTGCCTATAGTGCACTATTGGAAACAAAAAAAACATACCAAATAAAAACGGTTGCCAAAACATAGTAAGTTCAATTTTTCATAGGAGATTAGTTTGTGCCTGTGTTATTTGCTGGTTCGTACACTCGAAAAATAGTAAAATTGAAACGTAGGCCCAAACTGGAATTAAATTTGGTGCTACAACAGTCTATAGTCCAGTCCAATGCGTTTTACTTCAATGTCCCAAGTCCATAAGGTTGATTCGGCCCACCCCAGTTATAAAAGGCTTAAAGGATGCAAAATTAGGTCAAAGAGAGTGGGTAAAACTAGCCGTTGGAACGCAGCAAAGGAAAAGCAACGCCGCTGCCAGTGTAACGGTCAAAAACAATTTGAATTTCCCTGAGACAACCCCTTTTCAACGTCGTTTTGTTCCGTTTTAAATCAATCCTCACGCCTCCTTCCCCCTTATCGCTCTCTCCTCTCTCTCTCTCTAATTGCTTCACAAGAAGAGGAAGAAGAGACCCCATTATTCCTTTTCTTCTTCTTTCTTCTCTCTATCTGGATTTTGCGCCCTCCCTCTCTCTCTCTCTCTATATATATATACACACACAGAGTCATATACAATCTTCCGATTCTAGCTATAGTTTCCTGTGAAGTCTATTTCAGATCGTTCTTTATTACTGTTCCAATCAGAAAAGAGAAGCAATAAGAAGATGACTACAGTTAACAACCAGCATCACGGCAACAACACGCCGGCGACTGCTCCGGCTTCGAAAGGGCCTCTCTCCACGGCTAAGAGCGTGGATACCCAATCTGTTCTCAAAAGGTTGTTTATTACTTCTTCTTTTTCTTTTGTTTATTTTTAATTCTAGATCTGATCTTTGATCGCTTGGGAAATTTTTCTTCAAAAATTCTAGCGGTTTCTCTCTCTCTATGGATGAAAATTTTAACTTCTTGAATTGGGTTTTGTTGAATTGTCCTGAATTTCGTTTATTCTATATTTTTGAAAACCCCATGATTGGTTAGGGTTTATACGCATTTCGGTTTATTTGTTTTTCTGGATCGTTCAATTTTTCAAGAGTTCGGGTTCCTTCTTCGTTTTTTTTTTTTTTCGGTGATTTTGTTTCTATAAAGCATATTGAAAATCAAGCTGTGAATTTTCTTGAGCTTGAGTTTGTTGTTTTTTTGAAGAATTAAATCGTTCCTAGGGTTTATGATTATTTTGGGGTTTCTGTTTTTGTAAAACGGATCAAATTGGCTTCAGGGTAAAACCTCCAATTGGCTAGGGTTTATATGCATTGCTCGAGGGTTCAACATTCAAGGGTTTTGGTTATTTTTGTTTTATTTTATTTTAATTTTTGTGTTTTTGTTACTATAAAGCCCTATGCAATTCAAGACCTGAATTTTCTTGAAGTTGATTTATTGTTTTTGATCAATTAATGAGACTTAGGGTTTATGATTTTGACAAATTGGGTTTTTATTTTGATAAACCAGATCTCAATCTCTTCTGCTATGTAGCTTTTTTCTATGTTTTCTTCGAAGTGTTTTGTGGTTTCTAGGGTAAAAACTCTTACTCGGGTCCTCTGTGCTCTTATTTTTTTTGTAATTTCTAGTGTTTCTGGTTCTGTTTTTCTGTGTGCTCATTTTTTGATTTCTAGATTTTCTGATTCTGTTCTGTGTTTCTGTTTTCATAAAACAGGTTGCAATCTGAACTAATGTCTCTAATGGTAAGAACCACTAATTCCCTATTGTTCAAAATCTCTATAAATGTCTGACTACTTTGTAGAAGCTTTGAATTTCTGATTTATGTTTTTCTTTATGCAATACAATCTTTAGATGAGTGGGGATTCTGGGATATCTGCATTTCCTGAGGAAGACAACATATTTTGCTGGAAAGGGACAATTGCTGGTAGCAAAGACACAGTATTTGAAGGTACCGAATACAAGCTCTCACTCTCCTTTCCTACTGACTACCCATTCAAGCCTCCGAAGGTGAAATTCGAAACCTGCTGCTTCCATCCCAATGTGGATGTCTATGGGAACCTTTGCTTGGACATCCTTCAGGTGAGGACTATAGCATCAAAAGTCTCTTTCGACTTGATAGCATTGATTTTGCTGGTTTTCAATTAATAAAGTTGGGATTGCTTATAAATTATTATGCTTGCAGGATAAGTGGTCATCTGCTTATGATGTGAGAAGCATACTTCTCTCTATTCAGAGCCTGCTTGGAGGTAATTTTTATGTGATTAATTCACTAAATATGTGTTTTTTAACTCATTTTTTAGAAAAAAAAACTCAAATACCCATTTGAGTTATTTGATTTGACATATAATTTGATTTTTCTTTTCATCCATTTTTGTTATTCATTTGATATTTAGAGCCAAACACAAGCTCACCCCTGAACACTCAAGCAGCATCACTTTGGGCTAATCAAGAAGGTATTGTGTTCATTTTTGTTCAATGTTTGTTTGTTTGTTTTCTTTTATTTATTTATTTTATTTCATTTCTAGTCACAAATATAAAATTTTGAAACCTATTCTTTGTATCTCTTGCAGAATACAGGAAGATGGTGGAAAAGCTATATAAGCCTGCTGCCTAGTATTTGAGATGTGAAAAGTTTCGTGTAGTTATGCAGAGTGTATCACTTTTTCATTCTGAGTAGCAAGAAAGGTATATGCGCAGAGAGTGTATTATTATTCCCTTTCATTCTGTGTAGCAAGAAAGGTTAAATTGAGATTGTGTTTTTCAGCATGCAAATTCATTCATTGTTTTTACTTTCCCTTGCATCTACAGCTATCCCTTTACAGAAAAAGGGATTTTATATGGATGTTACTAGCTTGTTGTTAGTTTTGAATATGGAGATAAAGATGATTTATTACATCTCTCTTTGTTTACTTCCCCTTTTGTGTTTGAGTTTTGGCCATGTCTTTATACCAATTCTTTTAACAATGTCCCTCCAATGCAAATCACCGGAAACCCTAATTTGAGGCTTAATTTGAAATCAATTCCACAATCTGGCAGTGGAGTCTTTTAGGACTCTCAAATGTGTAAAATGGAACTGAAATAGGGTACCAGAAACCCTAACCAATGCCCCGATTTGGGGGCAATTTCACAATTGAATGGGTGAAATAGATAAATAAAGAACGACTTAAGAAAGGAGAATGACTTGATCATCATATTTGTTGTCAATGGGAATGACTCAATGGAAGAAGCTCTGTGAAAACCAAAACTTCGCAACATGAGGCTTATGTAATCAGAAATCATTTGTGGTTATAAAAAATAGAAGCCAAAAAGGAGAGTGATTTAGATAAGTAATTCTGCATGGTGATCAATAGTAGCAAAGCAATGAGCACAAATTAAGAATGAAGTTTAAGGTGTTTTGAGTCTTTAGACATATTAACCTTGGGCGTGAGAGCAGCATGCATATGACATGGAATGCGGCTACATTACTTTAGGTGAAGTAGTATTTCCTCATTCTAGCATATGAGAGAGGTAAAGGATTCAAGTCTTCATTGAAACACTGTTTTAGCGCAAGTGGTCATTAAGGGCATCAAAGACTGTCCTAAGACACGGCCTAATTCTAATGAAAATGATTATCAGGCAGAAATAATTAGCCGAAGGCTCTAAGCTATTTCTGCCCACTTGATGCATTCATATAGGACCCAGGGCTGCTCTGAGCGCCCTTCAATTTAGAAGGGTCTCAAATAGGGGCGGAGCCAGGATTTCAAATTTGGGGGGGAGGGGGCCAAAACATAAGAAAATTTGAAGAACAGAATAATTTTTATAACAAAGATATTATATATATATATATATATATATATTTTTTTTTTATAAAAAAAAAACGATGATGTTTTCATATATCAAATCAAGTACATCTGGAAACAAAAACATATGTAGCATTCTCTTAAGTAACCTATTGAAGATGAACCTAAGTTATTGAAAATGAACCCTCCGATCTTGAAGAGAGTAAAATTCATTAACTACCGGATCTATATCAATATTGTAATGACCCAAAAAGATACCGGTCAATGATACTAAAAAATAATAATAATAATAAATAAATAAATAAAAATTCGGAATGACGTCTGCAGAAAAAGTCTTACTATGACCTACTTAAATACATATAAAATGCTATGGCCTCACTTGGTTTAAAACTAATTTATCTTGTCTCAACGCACAATGTAAATAATATACAACATTTCCAAAATCAATACATACATATAAAAAGAGTACCGTTCCTCCATCTCATCTAAACATGGAAATACTAGTCTACTACCTAGTCCCATAATCCTTTATAAGGAATACACTTTAATTACATCAAGTTACTGTCCATAAAATATAGCTAAAATTAAAAGTCCATCACTTACAACATTATACAATTTAAACTAAAGTTTTACAAAATAGTAAAGATTATATTTACAAAATATTAAAGTTCAATTACAAAAGATAGCAAAATATAGATCTCTAATCTCGTCTAAACTTGTGGTGGATCGTCGTCCGCCATCTCTTTCCCGTATCCTGAAAATATTAATAATGAAAGGGGTGAGCCAACTACTTTGTAGTAAGTGTTTAAGACACACCTCTTACGACCCCGTGAATCCACATAAAGAATAGAATACAACTGAACGGGATCATGCCTCGAGAAGCAAGTAAAACAATAATAATATCACCAAATACATACACAAGTCATCCGACTACCAAGTGTGCAATATATGCGAATGATATGCCATGCCATGAAATGTCATTCCCCATTTCCGAAACAATACCGTTTCACCTTTCCAAACCGTTAGTGCAGTTCGACCCAAGGTGACTCCAAGGCATCACGAGAGGAGGATTGACTAACTATCCATGACCACAAGGCAACTCCAAGGCGTCGTATCCATCCTAGGTAACTCAACCACGCTAGGGTCTCTCTCTAGTCCCCTCTAGACTACAATAACGCCGCGGACCACTAGGCGACTCCTAGGCTTCTGGGTTTTCTCAAACACTTTTCGAAAACTTTTTCTCTCAAAACAATTTCTTTTGCTTTTCAAAAACACTTTTCTCTTTTTCTTTCTTAATGAATGCATGAATGCCTCATGCTTCATAATTATTATACCAACAATGAAATTTCACATAAGTTTCCAAATAATAACCACATACTTATACATCATGCTTTCAAATAAACAAGTTATCATATAGAACATACCATGGCATAAATTTAGTATACTTTTCATCACAAGAAACATGTAATTGAACCAAATATTCATATAATCCACATAATCACATAAAACCTTAAGTAACATAAATTAAATAACCAAATTAAACATGCTTAGGGGCAAATTAAGAGGGAAAATTTCACTAGAACCAAAGAAAATGTGGATTAGAGCACCCCTACCTCATTGAAGAAAAAACCCAAAAAATGCACAAAATTTGAAATCCCAATGGTGGCCAAACGGATATTTATTCCGATCAAAATGAAAATCTCGATGAGCTCTCCAACTTTGCCTTAAGCAGCAATACCAAATTCCCAAAGGTAAGAGAGAAGTCTTGGCTTGATTGAAGAAGGAAAAAGAAAAAGAAAAAAGAAAGTAAAAGGGGAGGGAGAACTGTGGCAGAGAGTGAGATAAATGGTGATTCTGTAATGGCTTTAAGGCCATTATAATTTTTGTATAATAATAGGTCCCACAAAATTATAAATATATCACCTTTATAACATTATTATATATATATATATATATTCTAATTAAATTACAACCACACAATCGACTATATAACCATATAAAATGCATTAAATTACCATGCATGAAATAAAATGGACCTGTGACACAATCCCCGTGAACAACAATCTCGGTAGCAGACTGCCACCTAGGACCTCCCGGTCAGAAAAACGAAAAAAATGCCACAATGGAAACCAATGCATTTCCTAGAGTCCTGAACTCAAGGAAATGTCCCAACAGTACTGACACATCCGGCACACCCCATAGTGTCTGGCACGTAAAACGAGAAAAGACAAAAATATCCTCGAGAAAAATAAAAAAATTCCAGAAAATGAAAGTTGATAAAAATCGAAAATATTACATTCTACCTTCCTTAAAAAGATTTTGTCCTTAAAATTTACCCTCCTTAAAGAAGGAGGCCTACAGCCATACACATTCTCGAGAAACACCTTATAAGATCACAAGACTATGAACTAGCCAACCATATTGCCTTTGACACCAGATGTTAATAAGCAATCACGCACCACCGCCACTAAAACCCAATACTCACCACTCACAACATCATAACACAAGACCGACTAGTATGCCCTATGCTATACCCAACTCAAAACGGGCATCGGTCCACTCTACACTGCAACGCAAGACTCCGAAGACTGAAAGAAGAATGGTCACTAGACCACCGAACATAACAACGTTCAATCTCAATTCATCCCTAAAAGGACACACAAAACCCGAGACAAGGAGCCCCGTCCATCTCACAATCAAGCTCAAATTCAAATCTGCACATCCCTGTCAGACCAATCACTCGCTATCTAACACATAACTATACCATCGCATATCCACACCAGTGACTAATAATCACACTATACAACAATCATTATACTTAACAACCTTAAGATGACTAAACAACGAATCTCCAAACAACTATACAATCATAAGTCACCAAATCAGTAAAGCGCACTATCCTGTATTCAAGACACAAATCCTAAAAACAAGATCCTCGATAATTAAGTGATCACACCACAAAACCTTTATCGGACACTTAGTCTTACCTAACATACCTTGTTACCCGCGACTAACTGCCTAAATCCACACTGTCACGCCGACATAACACACAATACCATGCTCTCACTGTCCTTAACAAATCGAAACAATCATTGACCTTTGACGCGACATCGTGCTATAGAAGGATTGATTCAAGAGAAATGGTTAGCCAGGCCATTCTCATCATCGATCAAGTCTCAACACAGATGTCGTTCCTATCCTCAGGTCCAAACCTCAAACACAATCTCACACAGTCCATAAGACAACTATTAGATCCACTCACTATCAATCAATCACTTTACGTAACCACAACGACTATACAGTCACATACTTACTTTAAAAATCCCAATCATGCCTTAATCATAACAAGCTAAAAGCAACATAGCGCCAAATACCACAATCATTGACCAGCCTAAAAGCTCTCCGATCACCTCATAAAATCCACACTAGGTAGATATCATAACATCATTTGATTTAATTCATGTCTCATTAAAATACTTAATAAGGCTATTTCATGCCTGAAATCTCGAAACCAGAGTCAATTACTATGATTACTCCTCAAAGGAATCATACATTCACATTTTAAATCATAAAATCCCGAGACAATACCGACACTAGTCCTCAAAACACTGCTCAAATTAGATGTCAAAAAAAAAAACATCAAGTACATGACTCACATCACATCACCTAATCATCCTCGAACGCACAGTTCACGACACAACCAGACACCGGAAACACACAATCCTTATTCAACAACTCGTGCCACACACGCCACCAGTTAAAACCACTCTCAGAACAAGCACTACAAAAAACAAAGACTTCAGCTCCCTCCGTGGGAGTGAGTCGACCAATACAACCAAACCCTTACCGGTGAACTCTAACAGTAAAACAAACCACACACGGGTCCGTTCATCATCGAACGCGTACAACTCCTAAACGAAGACCAGGACTTACGACAAACAAAGTTCTTGTCAGGACCAGAATAAATGGAAGGGTAATGAACCCCGCACTCACTAGAGGCTGATAATTCATACCTGAATGCACCTGACACCCTGTCACACGCTACTCACCATTCATCCAACAATAGACACCCAATCTCACCTAAGATGAATTGAACCCCTTATGCATAAGGAGAAG